GTAGCAAAATGAGAAAATCTTTTTGAAATTGTCTAGCATAGTGCCTGCATATAATGGGCAGTCAGTTAACACGTGCTCCTCTTTCTTTGTTTCTGAGCACCAAGACGTAGCACAGTAAATTCCCTGATCGAGGATACAAACATTTGCAAGTACACGTAGGATAGTAAAGTGGGTAGGCCCCCAGCTTGGTGTCCCACTCCTGCTCTGTGACTTCTAGCTCTACCACTTATTAGCTGTTTAACATTCGGGAAAAATGACTATCAATAACAGTACCTTCCTCCCAGGGTTATTATGAGGATAAAATAAGATAGTTCAGGGCCAGTGCTTAGAAACGTAGCTAGCACTCAATAGATGGTAGCTAGTAATGGTATTGAGAACCTACTGTGTTCCAGGCACTATGCTAGGTGCATTCTTTGTTTCTATTCCTCATGACAATCCTTGCAACATAGGTACAACTTTCATTTCATTTCAAGGAAACAGATTCAGAGAGGGTGAGTAACCAACTCAGGATTACGGTCAGCGGCAGAGCCAAGGCTCATGCCGTGTTTGTTGAATCTAAGACTCTGCCTCTCAAATCATGTATCTTTACCCTGAAATTGTTTGATGAATATAAAGAAAAATGGTGAAAATAGGTTGTACTGCCTTAAATACAAAGTATAAAAACAGTAAACATCCTTTTGGCAGCTTTTCTCAAGAGCTTGGTTTTATGCTCAGAAGCATTTCTTTTGTCCGTCAAGCCAAATCAAGAGGAAAATCTTTTTGAAACAAAATCTACTGTAGTCTTCAAGTTCGAATCCTAGTATTGTCACTAGCTAGCTTGTGCTGGACTCCTGTTGCATCACCCCTAAAATGAACTTTTTTTTCTTTTAAAGATTGGCACTTGAGCTAACAACGGTTGCCAATCTTCTGTTTTTTTCTTCTTCTCCCCAAAGCTCCCCAGTACATAGTTGTATATTCTAGTTGTGAGTGCCTCTGGTTGTGCTATGTGGGACGCCGCCTCAGCATGGCCTGATGAGCGGTGCTATGTCCGTACCTAGGGTCTGAACTGGTGAAACCCTGGGCCACCGAAGTGGAGAGTGCGAACTTAACCACTCAGCCTCGGGGCTCGGGGCCGACCTTAAAATGAACTTTTGAGTTACTAAATCGTAGAGCCTTTCCCACGCTAAAATTCTTTCCCTGCCTGTTAGTCTAAAGGCATCTCAGCAAGCTGTTGCTGCCATCCAGAGGAGAAAATATTGTTGCAGGCCCAAAGAAAGCATTATCGCAGTATTAGACTGTGGTAACAATAATAGCTACCATTTATTGAGTGTCTACTGTGTGCCAGGCACTTCCCTGGGCATATGCTATATGTATTTCTGTTCTTCAAAGTAGTTGTTACCCATGTTTTTGAACTGAAAAATCAGAATTTAAAAAATTTAAGTACTTGTTCTAGGGGCACCCAACTAGTAATGAGTAACTGAATTCTGTTTTGAGTGTGATGTTTTTTCAGCAAGGACAAGAACCAAAATAGAAAAATCTTGCATAAGAAATAAATGTGTTTGCAAATCCATCCTTTCAGCCAGAGCACAGAATAGGCTGTTCCACCCTTCCTGGGAGGACCCTGGACCTAAGGGCCAGCCTGTGGCTCCACACCCACCTCTTAAGCTAATTAAAGCTGTTACTACTCTAGCATAAAAATTATTTGTTGAATCTGATAAAACGCAGCGTCCCATATCCAGAGATTCTGATTCATGGTCTGGGGTAGGACCCAGGAATCTACATTTTAAACAAGTACTCCAGGTGATTCTGGTTCAGATGACAAACATTGCTCAATCATACTGGATTGTAGTTTCTATAGGGGGCCTGAACAAAGAGTGGGTGATATAGTTTCCCGAGGCCTATCTGGAATGTGCACCATTTACTTTTCAGAGGATGGGCTGCCAAAATGAAGATGGCATTTCTAAACCAGGTGTTTGTCCTCCAGTCCTAGGACGGGCTTAAGGCTCCCTGGACAGGAAACTACCCTCTACAAGAGGGGCCTTGCACTCTTGCCTCAAGATTTCATATGTATGAAAGGTGTTTCATAGAATCCTAAGTATACCAACCATGCCAGTCATGATGACCAGCTTCCCTTTCCAGCTCACACAGCCTTACCTAGAGCCTCCTTCTCAGTATTAGGCTGTTTTTTTATGCAGTTGAAATCGTTGGACTGGGGTGGGCCTTGACTCACAGTCTGGCCAAGGACAAGAAGTGGTCTGGCACGAAAAGATTCTGCCCACCAAGGGCAACGGTAATTGGCTAAACTACCAGATAAGCTCCATCCAGAATATGGGGTGGCAGACCTGAGACCATTAACCACTAGGTAATAAGAGCAGAAAGCTGTGCCCTCAGTAAGGCTCCCCACTTCCCATGGCAGTGCCTGAGTGGGCACTTCCTTAGATCCCCTGCAGAAATCAGCATACTGCACACCCATAAGCTCCCAGAGGGCACTGAATCTCATTCTCTCTGAATTCCATAACATGAATTTAGTGCCTGGAGGGGGAAGTAAGTACTCGATACATATTAACTGAAAAACAACAAAAAGGCACTTTCACACAGTAAGTGATTCTCAAAACTATTTTGGCAGTGTTATTTTATTTTAAAGATTTTATTTTTCTATTTTCTCCCCAAAGCCCTCCGGTACAGTTGTATATTTTTAGTTGTGGGTCCTTCTAGTTGTGGCATGTGGGACGCTGCCTCAGCATGGCTTGATGAGCGGTGCCATGTCCATGCCCAGGATCCAAACCGGCGAAACCCTGGGCCGCTGGAGCGGAGCGCGAGAACTTAACCACTCGGCCACGGGGCTGGCCCCATATTTGTTTTTTATCTATAGCCCCATTTCACATATGAGGAAACTGAAGTTCAGTGATGTTAATGACTTGTTAGAGATCAAGGAACTAATCAGTGGTGGAGCCAGAACTCTCTATAAGAATAAAATACCCAACTGATAACCCAAGTTCTCACTTCCACAACAAAAATCTTTTAAATAATTTTTCCCCAGCCCCATAACAGCTGTTGTAGTTCAGATCGCCACATTTCTAACCTTCCAACAGATCTTCCTGCCCCAGGTTTTACCTCCAATCTTACCTTCCATCCCACTACCAAAGTTAACTTTCCAAAATGCAAATCTGGTCATGTCACTTCCCTGATTAAGTCTATTGCACACAAAACAAAGGTCCAAATTCTCATGGTTTTCAAAGCACTCCATGATCTGACCTTCCAGTCTTGCTCTTCCAGCGTCAACTCCATCATCCTCTCCCTGTCATATTAACTCTTCCAGTTTCTTCAAAACACTGTGCTCTTTTTTCTCATGTTTAACATGTTTGTTTCTCTTCCATGATCCATTGTTAGCTTTTCCCTGGTCAGCTACATATACATATGTTAAGTATCTAACTAGCTTATACATTAAAGAGAATCTATAGCAAATTTATGGCTTAAAGAATGATAATAAAAAGCAATCATGCTCCCACCACCCACTTTAGGAACCACATTACCAAAACCCCCTGTAAGATAGTGTTCTTTTATGCCTCCTTGCCTCTGCACATACTAGAATGCCCTTCCAGGCCTTAGTGTGCATAGTGAACCCATCATTTGGAATCTCAGATTCAGCTTTACCTCTGGAAAGTCTGCATTGACTCCCTTAATGCTTCCATTATCCCTCCATTATGGCATTTATAACAGTCTAGTTGCTTACATATTTGCCTCCAGAGTAGATTTAAGATACCAAATATTATTTAATCTCTGAATCTCCAGCAACCAGCATAAAGGCTAGTTACACAGCAAATGTTCAATAAATAGGATTGATAAATAGGATTCAATTTGGGGGCTGGCCTCTGGCAGAATGGTTAAGTTTGTGCGCTCCACTTCGGCGGCCCAGGGTTCCAGTGGTTTGGATCCTGGGTGTGGACATGGCACCGCTCATTAAGCCATGCTGAGGTGGCATCCCACACAGCACAATCAGAAGGACCTACAACTAGAATATACAACTATGTAGTATGTAGGTGCCATGTCCGCACCCAGGATCTGAACCAGCGAAACCCTGGGCCACCAAAGTGGAGTGTGCGAACTTAACCACTTGGCCACGGGGCTGGCCCCTGGAGAAAGATTTTAACTGATAAGAGTCTAGGCAGGAAAAGCTGATATGTAACTGTCCATTGCACCTCCTTCCTTCTCCAGAAGTGCTTGACTTTCTTGGAGACACAGAAGATGAGTTTGCACAGACCAGATGCTCAATAACCTTTACTGCACACATAAGTTGAAGAATGTCTGCATCTTCCTACTTTAAGAAAACCCAGGGGGCTGGTCCTGTGGCCGAGTGGTTGCGTTCATGCGCTCTGCTTCGGCAGCCCTGGGCACGGACATGGCACCGCTCATCGGGCCATGCTGGGGTGGTGTCCCACATGCCACAGCTGGAGGGACTCATAACTAAAATATACAACTATGTCCTAGGGGGCTTTGGAGAAAAAGAAGGAAAAATAAAACCTTTTAAAAAAAAAAAGAAAACCTAGATGTAAAATGTGAATTTATAGTACAGATCAATGTGACAGAGTATTAAATATTATGTATGCTTAATACTTGATGAGAACTAGATGGTAGATAAATTTAAACAGCTGACTTTACTACTTGTTGAAAATCAGAAATGTAGATTAAATACTGCTGAAATGATAACAGTTAATGGTAAAAATTTAATAGGTGCAATTTTTTTTTTGTGAGGAATATTCACCCTGAGCTAACATCTGTGCCAATCTTCTTCTACTTTGTTTATGGGATGCCTCCAAAGCATGGCTGATGAGTGCAGTATGTCCACGCCCGGGATCCAAACCTGCAAACCTGGGCTGCCAAAGTGGAGCACATGGAACTTTCACCACCAGACGATGGGGCTGGCCCCCACAGGTGCACTTTTTAAAAGAACCTCTCTTCAGTATATATGAGCATACCAGTTAGCTGCACTTGCTTTTAGGGAAAGATGCAATCTCCTTGAGTTTGATATTATAGATAAAAATTTTATTTAAAGCTTCTTTTGTCATTCAAATAGAAAAAGCTGTTTTTAACTACTGTTAAACAAAAAGTGGAAAGTGAGGTAATTCATCTTTGACAATAATCTTCTCTTCCGCCAACAGTGTCATCTTCTTTGCAAGTAAAGGTAATTCCTTATAAATAAGGCTTTTAATAAATTACAAATATGTAGTAGGTTCTTGTCCATCTTCTTCCTAACTACTTAATGCACTGTTGCATAGCAACAATTTTTTTTTCTGCTTCTTTGTTGGAAGTCTGAGAGTCTGAAATCTGCATTGGCCTGGTTGAGCTTGGGAATTTTTCTGGTACCAGGGGTGCAAATATCCGTTGTAGAAATCAGTAGCTGTTAGTGTTTTCTTGAGCATCACTGATCGAACACCAATCCAGCCATCCTAAAGGGCAAAAGACAAATAGTGAACAGGCAGTGGTGGCAAAACTGGTGCTAAATTTTAGTTTACAAAACTTTTAATGTGAAAACAAATAAACCAACAAATCTTTACTATAGCCTAGCTGCAGATAGCACAGTACTAAGTGACATATATGATTCTTTGACTCTCAAAGTTTATTACCAAGGAGTGATAACAAATGTGCAGACCTATATAAGCCTATTTAAACACAAAGGGAGCAGAATAAGAAGGTATGTTATATTTCCAGAGTGCTTTATGGTTTTCAGAGTATGTCCAAGTATCTTATTGTTACTGGTCATCAAAATACAGCCGTTCTAAAAAGCAGGCACATCCAATATCACCCCCAGAGAAAACTGATTTTAGAAGAGAAAACTCATGCCCAGAGAGGGTGAGTGATTTGTCTGAGGTGACACACCTGGGGGACTCAAACTCGCATGTTCAGACAACCCCAGCTTCTTCTCTGACAGCAAACTCCAGATTTGCAATACAGATATATACAGCCACAGACAAGGACAGCAAGACATACACACCCAACGCTGTTCCAGAATAAGTTGGAGAGATGAAGGGAGGTTGATGTAGGAGTTCTGTATCTACAGTCTGTGTAGCTCAGATCAATCTATCACACATTTTAAATATACTTTCCTGAGCATGGAATATTGCACATAAACACTGCATGAAGGAAAATACCCAGGAAATGGAAGGATTGTGGAATACTTCTCAGGACAATGCCATGGTGTTATGAAACAATAATGGTTTAAAGTCATTTTAAATAGTTAAGAAATCTCCTAACCACTGTTCAACAGTAAGTAGGATACATGCACTGCAGTAATTCAGCTAGACACTTCGATAGGACGTCAGTATCTTTTATGATCGTCATATTAACAAGATGACGTTAATTAAACAACACTATTAATAAGAGGTTGTTAAATTGGATTACTGAGAATATTCAGGTTTCTTTTAAGACAGCACTAAAGTTATTGAATATTCTTTCATTGTTTGAGTAATAATAATGCCTTGGCAAAACAGCACTTTCAAAACATTATACTAGAGATTCTACTATTTCTTAAGAAAATTAAACTGTCCGTTGGCTCAATCTGGTGGACAGGCAGTTGAGTGAAGTCCCAACTAAAAATGATAAATAATATAAACTATAAACTCAGTACAACAAGTATGATAATTTGAAACTAAAGGAGAATGTACCTTACAACAAACCAGCAGTTTCTGTGAGTGTTTGTGGTATATCACCGATCCTGGAATAACAGCCTGTCCTGTTAATTTTGGATCTAAAGAATGGGGGAAAAATAAAAAAGATATGAGAGAGAGAATAAATAATCATGCAATTTCATGGCACTTCTTAAAAATCAAAACATCATGGGAAGCAGTACTAATGCTGGAGAAGACACATCTGCTGATGCCCCGACTTTGTAATCCAAAACTTAATGATGGAGCCATGGTGCTCTGTGTGTACCTCGAACCCAAAGGGAAGCTTTCTGTACACGTAAGAAGCTATGAGTCCTTCACCCAGTCTCCCAGAGATCAACCTAAAATGTTGAATCTTGAAGTTTTGACCATTTTGGGGAAAGAACTGTCTCCCTCCTAGAGAGAGATACAGGAGGCTTAGGATCTAAGGTGGCCCTTCCAATCCATGACCAAATCAGTCCCAATTCCTAGATCCTGAGGAACTCGGACACCCTCTGAACTATGCCAGTTCCCTCTGTGGCTCAGAGTCCTTCAGTCCACCATGTTGGGAGGGCACTGTTAGGCCTCAGAATGGATCTGTGTCACGAATGCTACACCTGGGCCTAAGATTCTCGCTGAGCTTCCCAGAGATTTTCATTATGATATTCACCAGAGTGAAACTAACCAAGTCATTTTGCACTCCCTGAAAATCTTAATGTAAGAAATCACAGATCTTAAAATGAGATAGTACCACTGCTCTGCCTACTTCCCAGGTTCTTATGATTAAATGAGAAAATACATGTGAATGGACACTGCAAAGAGTAAGACAATAAATGAACGTAAAGCATTATCATTATTGAACTGAAACAAACTAAAAGAATCCTTATTTTTAGTGTGTGACCTATGGTAAAAGACACATTTTCAAATACACTATAGTGAAAACATTTTCCATGTCAGCTATTCAAAAGTTAGTACCAGTGAGGACTGAACTATTAACTTCTACCAAATCCAGGAGTTTAATGGTATTATCCATCCAGAGTGTCTGCAACGGAATCTGCAAACAAAATTAAAGAAGGTGTGATAAAGAAATACATTCAGCCCCCAAACCCTTTTCAACTACTATTTTGTGTTAATCTGGTCTGATTTCTCTCCCAATTAAAGATGAATTTGGAACTCAGTCTCTGAATCTTATGGAACAGCACATAAACATGATCCTCTACATCAGCCTCCAAGATTTGTAAGATCTTAAACACTTTTAAAATCAATGTTTATATCTTTATTAATATTTCTAATTAAAAATATATGTTCATTATAAAAAAATGCAAGCATTACAGCAATTATGTTTAAAAAAATTTAGAAAGTCAAAGTATTCTGTACTCCTATTCCCAGAGGTAACCACTGTTAACAGTTTGATGTGTATTTCCTTGTATTTTTTCTACAAAGATTATTTCAAAAATCTAGAACATACTGTTCTGCAAGGAACTCTTTTTACTTAACCATAAACCATGGGCTCCTTTTCATCAGTACGTGCTTATCTATTTCACTCTTTTTATCTGCTGCACAGCATTCCATTTTATGACTGTACCATAGTTTATGTAACCAATACCTTTATGATGGACATTTCAGTCATTTTCAATTTCTTGCTATTATAAAATTTTTAAATGTGCTAATAAATAGCCTGGTAGATATACCTTTGAGGACTTTTACATTTCTGGAGAATAATGGTTTTTTTTAAGTAGACTACCTAGTTTAAAGAGCATCAACATTTTATTGTTAAACTGCCTTGCTAAGAGAAAAAAGAAAAAGACAACCTATTGCTGTTTATTATTAGTGGGGCCAAGGAGCATTGCATATATTTTCTTGCACATTTTATTTATTTCTCTGAAAACTGCCTATTTATACCCTCTACCCGTTTAAAAGAAAAACAAACTGAGTTGTTCATCTCTTTCTTATTAATTTGCAAAAGTGTTTTATATTTTTAGGAAATAAGCCCTTTAATTCTTGGATGTATTACGAATATTCTTCCAGTATGTTGACTTTTGAACTTGGGTGCAGTAATTTTTTTTTCCATGTCTAAGTTTTTTATTTTTATGGAGTGATATTTATCACTCTTTTCTCTCATGGCCTCAGTGGTTCATGTCATGCTTAAAAAGACCTACTCCAATGGGCCGGCCCCTTGGCCGAGTGGTTAAGTTCTCGTGCTCTGCTTCGGCAGCCCAGGGTTTCACTGGTTCGAATCCTGGGCGCGGACATGGCACCACTCGTCAGGCCATGCTGAGGTGGCGTCCCACATGCCACAACTAGAAGGACCCACAACTAAAATATACAACTATGTACTAGGGGGACTTGGGGAGAAAAAGCAGAAAAAAAAATTTTAAAAAAAGGCCCACGCCTCACTTTATTAAATATTATAAAAAAGTATTCAACTGTGTTTTTCCCCAGTCCTTTGTGGTTTTGTTTTTTCACATTTAAATTCTTGATCCCCCGAGATTTTATTTTCATTTTAAAAGGTAGGCCTCTCATGGCTAACCTGCTGTCCCAATGTTATTTACTGGCTAATCCATCTCCCCTTCCCCCGGTATGAAATGCCACCTTTATCACATAACACATTTCCAGTATACCTGACACCCTGCAACTTGATTTTAACTGTTAATAAAAATTAACACATGCCAGGAAATAAGTCCTGTCACATTTCTGAGTTAAATACATTTATTTTCAGACTTTCATTCAATCTTCTATTTCATAGATGACGAAAGTGAGGCCCAGAGAAATGCAGGTGTTTTCCCAGGTGAGACCCAGGTAGTTAGTGGCAGAGCCAAGGATCAGAATCTGTGTTTTCTCATTATCAGCTCAGTGCTTTTTTATGAGATTCCTTAAAGAAGACATTTAATTTCTAGAAGAGTTAAGTGGTTGCAAATATTTGAACATTAAATCAAAAAAATTAAATTTGAAAAGTTCACAAGTGTTCATAACCTTACATCTGTCAATATTGAAGAGGAGATTGGTACAACATCTTCTGTTGGTACAGTATCCTCTTCAATAACTTGCTGATTTATTTTTCTTTACCTGCTCCGAATAAAAATTATGAAATGATTTTCATATGTGTAACTTTTTTCTTTCACAGAACTCAAAATATTTTTGAAACATGTTTACTGACTAAAAAAAGATTTATATTTACTGAGAGTGATAAATATGCTAGGTATATAATCAGAATATGCAGTTCTTGTTCTTGAGGAGGTAAAGCTCATCTTCACCTTATCATCAGAGCATTGCAGAAGGGAAAATGATGGCGAGAATATAGTCATTTCAGTGTCTACCATCATTACTTGTCCAAATCATATGTTGGCAGGGATTTAAATTCACCGTTTATCTCCTTTGATCTTGACAGTTGTGGGCATGCTCATTAACCCTATTTTAGAGGTAAGAAAGCAGAAGCTCAGAGAAGATAAGGGTATTGCTCTTGGTTAGTAAATGGTAGCTCCAGGAATCAACTCTCACCTTCTGGCTCCAAGATAAGTACTCATTCTGTTACTGCACAAGCTTTTCTCAGTGGAGAGGAAAGGTGAACTGCAGAAGATAAGGATCATTATGTATGAAAGTAACTCTGTGTTTAACGTTGAGAAACTGTCAACTGTTTTCCAAAGTGGCTGCACCATTTTATGTTCCCACCAACAATGTATGAGAGTTCCAAATTTCTTCACATCCTTGTCAATACTTGTTGTCGTCTGTTTTTTAAATTATAGCCATCCTAATGGATGTGAAGTAGTGTCTCAGGACACTTTTGATCTGCATTTCTCTAGACTACTGAAGTTGACCACCTTTTCATGTGCTTATTGTCCATCTGTATATCTTCTTGAGAGAAATGTCTATTCAGATCCTGTGAGCATTTTCTAATTGGATGGTCTTTTTTACTGTACAGCTGTTAAGTTTTTTAATATATTCTGGATACTAGACCCTTATCAGATATATGATTTGCAAATATTTTCTTCTATTCTGTGGGTTGCCTTTTCACTTTCTTGATAGTGTACTTTGAAGCCCAACGGTTTTTAATTTTGAAGTTCAGTTTTTAGTTTGGTTGCTTATGCTTGAGGCATCACATCCAGAACCACTGCCTACTTCGAGGTCATGAAGATTTATCCCTGTTTTCTTCTAACAGTTTTATAGTTTTGGCTCTTACACTTAGGTCTCTGACATATTTTGAGTTTATTTTTGTATGTGGTGTGAGGTAGGGGTCCAAACCGATTCTTTTGATTGTGGATATCCAGTTGTACAAGCACCATGTGTTGAAAAGACTGTTGTTTCCTCATCAAATTGTACTGGCACCCTTGTCAAAAATCAACTGACCATAAATGTATGGGTTTATTTCTGGACTCTCAATTCTATCCCATTGAGCTATACATCTATCTTTATGCCACTGCCACACTGTCCTCGTTACTGTAGCTTTCTAGTAAGTTTTGAAATCGGGAAATGTGAGTCCTCCAACTTTGTTCTCCTTTGTCAAGATTTTTTGGCTATTCTGGGCCTCTTGCAATTCCATACAAATTTTAGGATCAGCTTGTCAATTTCTGCAAACAAGTCAACTGGGATTTTCATAAAAATTGTGTTGAATCTGTAGATCAGTTTGGGGAATAGTCCCATCTTAACAATATTAAGTCTTCCAATCCATGACCACGGAGGTCTTTCCATTTATTTAGGTCTTCTTTACTGTTTATTAGCTCTTATCTTTTAGGAATCTTTATCATTCTCTTTACGTAAGATTACATCATCTTCAAACACAGATAGTTTTACTTCTTCCTTTCCAATCTGGTTACCGTTTGTTTCTTTTTTCTTGCCTAATTGCCCTGGCTATAACCTCCAGTACATCCTTCTCTTGCTCTTGATCTTAGGGGGAAAGTTTTCAGTCATTCACCATTAAATATGATGTTAATTGTGGATTTTTTGGTAGATGTTCTTTATCAGGTTGAGGAAGTTCCCTCCTATTCTTAATTTGTTCAGAATCTTTATCTTGAAAGGGTACTGGATTTTCTCAAATGCTTTTTCTGCATCTATTGAGACAATTATGTGGCTTTTGTCCTTTATTCTGTTAATATGGTGTATTATATTGATTGATTTTTTTGTATGCTGAACCAACCTTGCATTCATGGGATAAATACCACTTGGTCATGGTGTATAGTCCTTTTTTATATGTTGTTTGAAGATTTTTGCCTCTATATTCATAAGGGATATTGACTTATAGTTTTCTTTTCTTGTGATGTTTTTATCTGGATTAGCCTACCTTGGATTTCATACTACCTGCTCCCTCTGCCTGGAATGCCCTTTTCCTGATCTTGGCATGGCTGGTTGCTATCGTCTTTCAGATGACAGCTTAAATGTCAGTTCAGAGAGGTATTCCCCATCTATCCAGTCTAAAATAACCTTCAGTTAGTCTATCACCTTATCCTATTTTTTTGTTTAAGATTGGCACCTGAGCTAACAACGGTTGCCAATCTTCTTTTTATTTTTTCCCTGCTTTTTCTCCCAAAATCCCCCCAGTACATAGTTGTATATTTTAGTTGTGGGTCCTTCTAGTTGTGGCATGTAGGATGCTGCCTCAGCATGGCCTGATGAGTGGTGCCATGTCTGCACCCAGGATCCGAACTGACGAAACCCTGGGCCACCAAAGCAGAGCACTCAAACTTAACCACTCGGCGATGGGGCCAGCGCCCCAAATTATCCTATTTTAATTTTCATCAAGGAACTTATCACACTATTTCTTATTTATTTGCTTATTTATTGTCTTTCTTCCTACACCATCTGTATCTCTAGCACCTAGAACAGTGTCTGACACATAATAGGCCTTTAATAACTATTTAGTTTAATGGATAAAAGAATAATAATAGGTATCATTTAATGAGTACTTACTCTGTGCCAGATACTGTACTAGATGTTTTATATACATTATATCAGCCCTAATTTCCCAATGAACAAACTAAAGCTCGGAAGTTAAGTACCCTTCCCAAGTCTACAAAGTTAGGAAGTAGCAGAGACAAGCTGGAACCCAGCTCTGTCTGGCTGTAAAGTCCCAAGTTGCTTTCCCTATGCCATTCTGCTGTAGCAGGAAAAGTACAAGGTTTGAAGTCACACAGTTCTGATTCAAAGCTTGACTCTCACTAATTAGCAATGTAACCTTGAACAACATTCCATAACCATTCACTGAGTATCTACTTTAAGGCTCAATTTCCTCAACTTAAAATGGGATAATACCCACAACATGCAATTGTGATCCTCACTGAAGAACTTGGCATGCTACAAATATTCAACAGCAGTTCTCCATTTTACCCAACATTAATAACAGGGAAGGGCCATTAAAAACCCACACAAGCTAGACCCAGAGTTTAAACAATACAAGAGGCCACCAACATGAAGGAAAAAAGCCAATAAATTTGTCAAAAGAATTGAGAATTTAACTCAGATATTTTAATGAGTTGTTACATTACAACTCCACTTTGTGTACCATATGTGGTAATCAAGGATTTAAGAATTCAATTATAAAACATGGGCCATAGGCAGAAAGACAGACTGGAAAAAGCGTGGGATTAGGACTTAGACGATTTAAGTTCATTAGTTAGTGACTAGGTACCCCTGTTAGTCACTTCATTTTCATTCCCTTAATCTATGAAATGGGATAATAGAACTTGGTTATGGGAAACTGCAAAATATGTATTTGAAAGTGATTTGTGAATTCCAAAAACTTAAAGTTTGAAGAATATTTTTTAAGTGAATATCAGATACACAAGAACTGAATGTAGTGACTCAAACAGAAACTTGTACACCAATGTTCATAGCAGCATTATTCACAACAGCCAAAAGGTAGAAACAATCCAAACATCCATCGACAGATGAATGGATAAACAAGATGAGGTATATACATACAATGGAATATTATTCAGACTTAAAAAGGAATGACATTCTGATACATAGCACTACATGGATGAACCTTGAAGACACTATGCTAAGTGAGATAAGCCAGACACAAAAGCACAAATACTGTACGATTCCACTTACATGAGGTACCTAGAACAGGCAAACTCATAGATACAGAAAGTAGAATAGAATTCATCAGGGACTATGGGGAGGGGGAATGGGAGTTACTGTTTAATGGGCAGAGTTTCAATTTGGGAAAATGAAAAAGTTCTGGGGATAGCGGTGATGGTTATAAAACAACGTGAATTTATTTAATGCCACTGAACGATACACTTAAAATGGTTAAAATGGTAAATTTTATGTTATGTATATTTTACCACATTAAAAAAATAGCCATTTTTTAAAAAAATGAATTTCAGGATTCTTAGGTTTAGTTTATGAGATTCATTCCTGAATAAAAATATTTCAAAGGTGAATTACACACGTGCACGCGCACACACACACACTCTCTTAGGTAAAACTGCAATGTGACTTCGAACTTACTATATTTCCTATGGCACGATAAAGTCTGAATATTTGCTCTGACGTTTGTTCCTCCCATTTTATACAGCTGGTACCAGCAGAAATCTTAGGGGCTACAAGATAAAGCCAATAGCAAGAATGAATATCAGGTTCCATGTCCATGAATTAATAAGTATTGATGCTGAAGAACAGATACAAGAGAATTCATTATATTATTTCCTCAACTTTTGAATATGTTTGAAACTTTCCATAATATAAAGGTAAATAAATAAATCATACAAGTACTAGAAGAAGACATGGGTGAATTTCTTTATAACCTGGGAGTAGAAAAATGACTGAACAATGACTCAAAATACAGAAGTAATTAAAGAAAAGAATGATAAATATGACTACATAAAAAACTTTTTCAAGACAAAAAAAATGTCACAAGTCAAAAAGCAAATGACAAACTGAAAGTACTTTTTAAAATTTGTATTACAGTGCTCTGTATCTGCTTATATAGATATAAATCTGTAAATATACATTTATGTAATCTTATAATAATATTAATATAATTAGATTATATTTAGGAGTACTTTATATCTATTATATAGATTTATTTATATCTATTATATAAAGTACTCCTAAAAACTGAGAAGAAAAAGATCAAGAAATCTGATAGGAAAATTGTCAAAGGATATAATAAACCGTTCCCAGAAAAAAGAAATGCAAATAGTCCTTAAACATATGAAAAGATCCTAACCCCCCTCACAGAAGTAATATAAATTAAAACTACTCCAAGATGCAGTTTCTTATCTATTTGATTAGGAAGTAACATGCATAAAGTTATTTTTAATGGCATTATTTGAAATAGCAAAAGACTGGACACAAATGCCCATAAATAGGGGCTCTGTTGAATAAATTATGATATATGCACACAAATGAGAACTAGACCACCATAAAAATAGAACGGGGGAAATCTCTTATTGATAGGAACTGATCTCCAGGATACACCACTGAGTGAAGAAAGAAAGGTACAAAAGAGTGTACATTTTATACCACCTTTTGTGGAAGAAAAGAAAAATCTGCTTAAAAATGTGTTTTTGCTAATTTTGATAAAAAGAACCAACTAGAAGGTGAAATCAGAAACTAAGGAAAATACTGACCCAGAGAAGGAGGGAAACAGGCTTGGAGGAGATAGGGATAGACGAGAGACTTCTCTGAGTTCACCTTCTCAAATTTTAACTTTTGAATCATGTAAATATTTTACATATTCAAAAAATTAAATTTAATCAGAGAGGAAAAAAGCAACTCTGAAAATTAAACACAAATGGAAAAAAATAAACCTAAGTATATATCAAACTAGATAACAAAACCACATGGAAAAAAGAATTGTCTCCAGAAAGTTTTGAACACAGTACTCTGACTGCATAATCTTAGCAGGATATATTCTAAGGACAAAAAAACCTGCAGAGAAATCTTAAATCTTACTCAGTAGTTTTACTTTTTGTAGTAATATTGGTGGCATAATTTTCAAACTATTTTATGCTTAGCAATTAAACAAATAGGTTAGTATTAATACAAAAAAAGATATTCAGTGTAAGAGAAAATACTCTAAGAAAAACTCTGTAATTTAAACTTTGAATCAGTAACAATATGAACTCAAGTATTATTTAAAAAATATAATGCCTAGCCTTGTCCATTGTCACCTTATCTTGGAACACATTGTTGTACGAGATAGTTTCTAAATACCACCCCCCACTAAAATGAACAAGGGAGAGATGGCTGATTCCAACAGAGGACAGAGAATTTACAAGGTGAGCCTGGGACATCTTATAATAGAAAGCAAGAAAGCACTCAAAAACTAATTGGCGTGGAGAAGTGTCAAAAAGATGCAGGAGCCAACTTTAAGGGGCTCCCACTGGCTAAATCTGGGACTACTTGAGCAGCATAAGCATTATGAATGTAACTAACTGTAAAACACAATAAAGGAGAATCCACGAGTCAAATGATAATTAAAAAAACTTGTTTACCCATAATTGAAGGCAATTGTGGCACCAACTCCTTACTCTAAAAATTGGTAATTAGAGAAAGGCTTAAACAATTATTCTGTCATTTTAGGATGAACTAAAATTCATCAATTGATGAGGAAAAGTTCTTCTTTACAGAGCAATGCCAACTAGTAAAGTAAAAGGAATTAGAAAATCACCATTTTGCAATCTCTAATGAAATAATTCATTCAGGGAAGGAGCATCAATCCATGCTAAAATTGTGATGTGAAAGGTTGTTAGGGAACAGGATATTTGCATGGTGCTAAAGTACCCCACAGATTACCTGCCAATTGCAAAGGGAGAAACACATCTTTACACTGGAAAGATCTGGTGATCACCACCTCAGCTAGGTGAGCAAACTTAGCTTACTAGCCTTGATGCAATCTGGCATCATGGCTTACTGATGTGACATCCTAAGCCTGGAGGAGACAGGGGAGAGACTTCTTTGAGTATATCCTTTTAACCAGTTTTAGCTTCTGAATCATGTAAATGGTTTACATATTCAAGAAATAAAATCATAGATAAAAGTAAAAAGCAATCCTTAAAATTAAAAACAAACTGGCACAAATATCACTAAAACACAATTATCATCTACGAAATATTCTTTCCAAAAACTTTAAGCCTGAATCCAATCAACCTTTTAGAACTTCCAACTCACAGGAAATATAAGGGATAGAAAAACAAGTTAAACAACACTAGAAGGAAACAGACAACTGGCCTGAGCTCTTCAAAGAGTCAATGACATGGAGGGAAAAAAAACAGTGGAGGAATTACTCTAGTTTAAAGAGACTAAAGAGACATAACAATTAATTACAATTATATCCTAGTTTGAAAAAATATACAGCTATAAAATATGTTTTAGACAATTAAGAAAATTTAAATGTGGACTAGATATTAAATGCTATTAGGGAACTGGACATTTTTCTTAAAAGATGTATGTTGAAGTATTTAGGGATGAAAGGTCATGATGCATACTTCTAAATGGTTAAGGAGAAATTTAAAAATATATACTAAATAAACCACATATATAGAGAGAGAAAGAAAATAGGACCAAATATTAATAATTGTTGACTCTGGGTGAAAGAGGTATTCACTGTCTTTTATCTCTATGTTTGGTACTTTTCAATATGAAGAATAGGAAAAAATTTCCAATCTTTCAAAAGGCTACATGTTAGGAGGGACAAAGAGAGCTTCCCAACCATTCTTTGGAAAAGGGCACACAAGTGGGCACTCAGTTGTCAGTCAAAATCAAGGGAAATTGCAAGTGAAGCAGGCACAGTGTTCAGATGCTATCAGGAAAAACAAACCTTAGGGAAGAGGTAAGAATCTGCAGCCCTTACTCACCATGTGTCACCCCCTCAGTTGGCTGCTGCCTTCTGTTGCTCAAACTTTCAGGCAAATTTTTCAAAACTGAAATAAGCTAAAAAAGGAGAACGTTATATATTCAAGATAAAAAGAACAAAAGCAGAAATACATTGCAATTCAGTACCATGAAATGAGCTACAGCTTTAAAAGAGCTGGGTGGCAGATAAGGCAGTAAACTGGCTTAAGCTGGGAGGATGCGTGTCTGCTGGGTAGAGCTTTAGTGGCGATGTTGGTCTCTGCAGAGTTCAGGTTACTGATCTGCCTCCAGAGGACGCTGAGCTTTGCCTGACTGTGCGAGCCTTCAGTGTCAGAACAGCCTTACCCGCAGCTATCCACACTCGCACCCCGCAGGGGAGAAGGCAGAGGAGCCTCACAGAAGAAGAGTGTGCTCTGGAGTCACACAGTTCCGGGTTCAAATCCCAGTTCCACCACCTACTGGCTGTGTCATTGGGGGAAAGTTATGTTACTTGTCTGTGGCCTTCAATGCCATCATTTGTAAAACAGTTCACAGCAACAGCTACCTCAAAGGTTTGTTGAGAAGGTAAAAAAATAAGCCTACAGAGCTATCTAGAACAGTCCTGGCACACAAACCAGTGCTCAGTGAACAACAGCTACTATTATAATAGCATTCCTGAGGGGAGTTGGGGGGAAAGTTTTCCTCTACAGAAAATTAACTAGTTCAAATGAAAATCATTAATCTGCTCATTAAGCATTTACTCAGACCCCACTGTATTGCAGATTCAATGAGCTACAAAACGCCACAGAGTTCATTTGTAGCTGGGGGGTCAACAGAATCCCAGTGTGTATGGATGCAAATGACTGGAACACAGGCACAGAAGTGGGGACAAAAGCTAAGAGTCACTTACAAAATGCTATAGGTGCCTTCTTTTTTTTTTTTTTTTAAAGATTTTATTTTTTCCTTTTTCTCCCCAAAGCCCCCGCGGTACATAGTTGTGTATTCTTCGTTGTGGGTTCTTCTAGTTGTGGCATGTGGGACGCTGCCTCAGCGTGGTCTGATGAGCAGTGCCATGTCCGCGCCCAGGATTCGAACCAACGAAACACTGGGCCGCCTGCAGCGGAGCGCATGAACTTAACCACTCGGCCACGGGGCCAGCCCCTATAGGTGCCTTCTGACAGGGACGAAAGGTCCGTCTATGAGACTAAGGAGAGTGAAACAGGGAAGAAAGAAGGCCTCACTGTGAAATGCAGGAGACCACGTAGGACCACGTGATTCATCTGAAAGCCTTTAGGTAACCACTCTGTGTAAATTCTCAAAGAGTTACATGAGATCACAAATACCAAGCTAATTTTTAGGAAGCCAAGGATAGAAATCACTTAAAAAGGAAAAAGGAAGCTTAAAATTACATATCATAAAATTGCTCTTTTCATCAGAACCACTTAGGAAACCTACTAAATGAATAAAAAACAGTGGGCTCTCAGAGGACTGTACCATGTTGGCACCCAGTCTTGACAGCACGGCTTCCAATTCCTTCGCGGTGCTCTTAGGTGGCACAGGAACCGTTTCCTGTTTGAGAATTGGACCTACATCAAACCTACCAAAAAAGGAAAAGCAAATAATAACAGGATTAGGGACGATTTCTTACTAACAATGTTTGTCTACATGAGTGTTTATATACCACAAGGATAGTTTACTCTTGGTCACGAATTTGACTGTTAGCCATTAGCAAGGGAGAAATGTCAGCATGAAAGGAGGGAGAGTAAAATCTGGCCTGTGCTTAGATTTTACACTTATTTTTTCCTCAAGGAAAAAGTATAAAGTTGGGTATCAGGGATTTAACTGCAATAATAGATAATGCTACCATCAGTAATAAATAGTATGAAAGAAATATTCTATTTGTATAATGAAAGCTTAGAGCAAAGAACTTATTTTCCAAGGAAGTCCCATTAGGAAATCCCTAATTATTTCTTTCTATATTTCCTTTCTAAAAGGATAAGAGTTTTGCCTGGATTATAATCATTGATGATTATATAGGTGCAAGTGTATTTGTATTCCCACAAATCGTACATTTTACATCAAGCTCTATAGTGGCCGCCAGCTTTTTTTAGAAATATGCTTTAGTTTGAATATTTAACTTTGTGGTTCTGTTAATTCTATTTTTAACTTATGAACTTTAAGAAAATATTGATTATGAAAAATCACAAATATTCACAAAAACAGAGTGACTACTCTAATGAATCTCCATATACGCATCACCCAGATTTTAAAATAATCAAAGTTTTGCCACTCTTGTTTCATTTACCCCACTCTCTTTTTTTCTAAAGTAAATTAAAGCAAATCCCAGATATTGAGTTGTTCTTGTGAACTTGAAAATTATTCTTTTCTTTTTCCTGTAAGATTGGCCCTTAGCTAACATCTGTTACCAATCTTTTTTTTTTCTTCTCCCCAAAGCCTCCCCCAGTACATAGTTGTATATTCTAGTTGTGGGTCCTTCTGGTTGTGCTGTGTGGGATGCTGCCTCAGCATGGCTTGATGAGCCGTGCTAGGTCCGTGCCCAGGATCTGAACCGGTGAAACCCTGGGCCGCCGAAGCAGAGCGTGCGAACTTAACCACTCGGCCACGGGGCCGGCCCCCTGAATTATTCGTTTCTAGGGGTACATTAGGTGAATAATAGGCAGAGGCTTAATACACTCCTGAAGCAACTTTAAATAATTGTTTCTTAGATTGTAAGTAAAATAAAAAACATTAAATGTTTAAGACAATTATATTACACATTGATATACAATATATTCTTACTTTAGATTCCAAAAATTATTTGACCATAGTTTGACCATAGAAACCCACGCCAGCAGAACTAAAATTCATAACTAATATACAAAAATCCATCTCTCATTTACACAATGTCTTTTATAGAAATCCAGTTGTTAATAGGATTTATTTCAATTAACAAGTTAAAAATTTCACAAGGGCTTTAAAGAGAGACTGCATAAATACCAAAACACATATGGCTTATGTTAGAACCCAGGAAAAAACAGAAAGGGTACAAAAGCCAAGGAAGGACTCTGGAGCTGGAGAAATTGGTGAGCACCATCCATTCATCCATTTCCCCCCCAAACAGACTGATACCAACATTCAAAATCACAAGAAGTCTCAAGAAAAGAATTATGCTCTTACCTTTTAGGTCTGATCTGCATAATCGTTACTCCAGTAACTGTGTCTCCGTGAAGCACGGTATGGATTATAGGGGCTGGACCACGCCACCTCGGGAGGCAACTGGGATGGACATTCAATATGCCACTGAGTTAGAAAAGGCAGAAATTAGCATGTAAGTGGGCTTTACCACTTAGTCACTGCTACCTAAAGTAATATGCTACTTTTCATCATTAAACTTTCCAGAAATTTTGAAACACTAACAGTTAATTCTAGCTTGTACCACCTGAAAAGGGAGCCAGAGCTAAGTTCACTCTCTTACCATAAGAGACCAATGAAACTCAATTAAAAACAGAGCAAGAACAACTATTCATTGTTCCAAAGATGTTCCACACAAGCTCATGATGTCTGGAAGTTTTTAAATAAAAACGAAACTATGTGAGAAGAACCATTCAAACTCTATCGTTCATCTCATGGATGATGTAAATTATATTTATAGTTTAGTTACATAATTATCCTCACTTCACTTAGTTTGCATACAGAATGCCTAAAACAAGCTTCTTGAATCTCCATCAAAAGATCTATTCACCTTTGCTGTTTATCCCAATACACTTATCACCCATTAATGAGCAATTTAAATAATTTACTAATCTGTCATTAGTTTAATGATGTCTCCATCAGCATGAGTATGCACTTAAGAGTGTGCATATATGAAAGAGTCTTATATTCTAAGTTCCACTGTTGAGCCCAGGCTCATTCATCCAACAAATACTGACTGAGCACAATCCACGTGCTGGCACTGTTCCGAGTGCTGGGGATACAAGCAACAGTGAACCAAACAGAAAAAAATTCTGCCCTCAGGCAGCTTATGTGCAAAGAGTGGAGATAAGCAATAAAAACCAAAACATGTAAAAAGTTTGTCAGATGGTGCTAACAGCTATGGAGAAAAACAAAGCAGAGAAGGGGATAGGAGTACTGGATGGGAGATTACAATTTTAAAGTGGTCAAAGAAAGTTTTACCAATAAGAAGACACCTGGGCAAGACATGAGGAGGTAAAGGAATAAGCCACAGAGATATATGGGAGAAAGCTTTCCAGGCAGAGGGAACAGTAAGCACAAAGATCTCGAGCAAGGTGAATGCTTGGCAGATTCAAGGCACAGCAGGAAGGCCAGTGTGGCTGGAGTGGAGTGAACCTGAGGAATAGTAGTAGGAGGTGAGGCCAGAGAGCTAGCAGGGGACCAAACCAAGTAGGTAGGTCCTTATAGGCCAATATAAGGACTTTGACTTGTATTCTGAGTGAGATGGAAAACCAGCAGAGAATTCTGAGCAGAGTGACATGATCCGACTTGTGCTTCAAAAGGGTCACTTTGGCTCCTAGACTGTTAAAAGGCTGAGAGGGCCAAGGACAGAAGCAATGGAAATAGCAACAGTGGAAGCGATGAGAGACAGTCCATTTCTAGACAGATTTCGAAGGCAGAGCCAAGAGGATTTCCTGATGGACTGGATGCGTGGTGTGGGATAAGGAATCAAGAATGACTAAGGATTTGGGTCCATTCAACTAGAAGGCTGGAATTGCCACTTACTAGATGAAGATTTGGGGAGGAGCAGGTTTTGGGCAAAAGTTCAAGAATGTAGTTTTGGACATCTCACATCTAAGGTGCCTATCAGACATCCAAGTAGAGCTGTGGAGGAGGCAGGGGGTATCCAGGGCCTGGAGTTCAGGGCGAGATCTGAACTGGAGGGACAAATGTGGGAGTTGTCAGCAGATACAGTATACGGAATTTAAATGATGGGGGTGAAAGCCCACAGATAGCGATAAAGATTAACAATTCATGCCACTAATATAATGTTTTAAGAGAAAATATTAAAGAAAGCAGAATTAGAGTTCAAGTTATTACACTTTAGATGCCAGGTCTGTATATAAAGACCAAGGTCTCTATTCCATTATCTCCTTATAAATAAAACTTACTAGGGAAATTTAAGAATAAGAGCCTCACTCAAAAGTCGGCCAAAGGAAGCCACCACTCCAACATCATATTCTCCAGACCCCACGTCTGGCCACTCGTACACTGGCAGCTGAGACTGGACAGCGTACTGCTTCACTGGCAGTCCTCTGGGTGACGGGGAGGGCACTGTGACCACTTCCAATTTGTCAATTAGCTCCTCCTCTTTGTTTTCCCTAAGTTGGAAAGAACGAAAGAAAATATGAGAGTAGTATGACAATGACTCAAAGCTAAACTACTTCACAGACCTCTACAATGTTTTTAGGATTAAATTCAGGAAGCATTCTGATAAATGAATAAAACTAATGCAAGTGAAAGACTGAGTTTTTATTTTTTATTTAATTTTAATTTTAAATTTGAAGAGCCACATGTGGCTAGTGGCTACTCTTTGGATAGCACGGTTCTAGAAGTTTCCCCTTGCAGACAGAAACATATACAGTACAGACATTTTACACAATTAGGATATAATATATACTGCTCTGGATTTTTTTTTTTCCCACTTAACAACACTATATGTGTCGCTAAGTGACGGGATCCGTTCTGAGAAACGTGTCCTTAGGCGATTTCCTTGTTGTGCAAACATCACAGAGTGCACTTACACACACCTAGATGGAACAGCCTACTACACAGCTAGGCTATATGGTACTCATCTCATGGGAGCACCGTTGTATACGCAGTCCGTCGTTGAGCGAAATGTTGTTATGTGGTGCATGATGGTATATAAGCTATGATGTGAGTCTTTTAAAACAATGGGTTAAATATACATTTGCTTGTATATGCATCGAACATTTCTAGAAGAAGAACCTGAAAACAGTGGCTGTCTCTGAAGAGAAGAACTGGGAACTAGGAGACAGGAGGAAGGAACTAACTTTTCACTGTATATCCTTTGAATCTTTTGAATTTTGTACCATAACCATGTGTTATTCAAACAATAAATGTTTTTTAAAAAACAAACAAAAATATATACCATGGGCATCATTCCATGGCAGTTCATGTAGCACTACCTCATTTTTTTTACCTGCTGCGTAGTATTCCAGTGCCCAGGGGCTGTTCATTTCTTTATTTAGCAGGTATTGCATCACATGTTAAGGAGTTAGGAGGAAAGGAGTAGATAGGAGGGCTCTAAAGAGAAAGTGCAGGAGTCGTGGAGCTGCCAAGGGAAGCATCAGCATAAGGGTCAGGATACAAGAGTGAGGGATGCGGGAGGCAACCTGGGGAAGGCAGCAAGTGGAGAGCGCATTATGCAGGATGTGCAAAGCGAACAAGTGTGAAGGCAGTGTTCCAGGGTGCGTGTACAGAGGGGAGTGTGTGGAGGGAGGAATATGATACAAGGAGATTGAAGAGGGAGTCAATAGGAGGGGCTGCTGTGAAGTATTTGTAGGGAAGACTTGACGGAGTGAGATGACAGAAACGAGCGTGGGGGTGCGTCAGGAAAAAACGGAGTGGGGAGATAAAAAATGGAGGTTGGGGGAAAGTACGCAGAGCGATATACACGGGTATAACCATCACCTACCATGGACTTTCAGGACAGGTTGGACCTCAAATAATTTTTTCCCAGGTTTGTTAAATTTTAGAAATACTAAATGTATACCAAGAGTTCTGATCTATAAATCTACTCATTTGGAAACAGTTCGTTTTTGGACTCCGTCCTCATCTCAGTCCCAGAAAACTGGGGAGGAGACGGGGAGCAAAGGAGACCTTGGTGCAGAGGGATGCAAGTACCTCGTAAGAAGCCCAAAGGATTGGAGGGTACAAGTTAGATGAATAGGAAGCAGTACGAGGAAATGGAAACGGGACTTTGAAGTCAGACCCCATTTTAGTCCCAATCAGCTCAGCTGATGACCTTGGGCAATCGCTTAACCTCTCTGAACTCCGGTTTCATTACAGGCAAAACGTGCATGGAGGTGGTGGGACTGGACGGAGATGATATATGCAAAGCGGCGAGGACGGGATTGGCTCCGCGGGGCGCCCGGTAGCGCCTGAAGAACGGACAGACAGGGCCCGGAGCGGGGGGTGTAGACCAGACGGGACCCGCCGGGCCGCCCTAGGGCGGACAGCCCGGTGCGGCGCCCCTTCCGGGCGCCCGGAGACGCCGAAATGTGGGCCCACACTCTCCCGCGCCGCCGCTTTCCCCGACAAGGAGTCCAAACCCTCGGGGTCTCCCGCAGAGGCTCGAGATAGGCGTCCCCAGCAGCCGGGCCCCCCCAAGCCCCGGCCCCGGTACCTGGCGGCGTGCAGCGCCCGCAGCGCCTCGCGGGCGAACTGGTCCGTGCCGAAGAAGAGCACACGCCAGGGCGGCCTCTCGCGGACCCGAGCGCCCCGGCCGTCCTCCCCGCCGGGGCACCCTCCGAGCCCGGCCAGCGCTCGCCACTGGGGGCTCGGCCTCCGTCCCGCGCCGCCACCGGCCGGCAGCCGCCCGCAGCAGCGACGAACCAGCACCCTCATCGCCTCCGCCGGCGGCCTGCCCTGCGCAGGCGCGTAGGGGTCGGGGCGAGCGCGCTAGGCCGGAGGGGCGGGGCCGGGGAGGAACCCCCCCGAGGGGCGGGGTCTGCCAGCGGCTAGGGGCGGGGCCTGTCTGACTGGAGGCGTGGCCAGTGTGTCGGAGCTGATAAAGGAAGTTTGACGGTTCGAGCGTCCTGGTGATTTTTGTTGCATTATTTGCTCGATTTAGCCAATCTCCCAAAAGAAGTCTTTTGGGAACAAATCATGTGTTTTCAGACAATAAAATCTCATTTATTTACGTGATTCTGTGTCATTTTCTCAGCCATTTTGATAACTAGTGCTTACTGCGTATTTACTATATGCCACGCTTTGGCTAAGCATTTTATGTTCAGTTAATCCTCATATCAACCATACAAGGTAGACATTATTACAACCGTTTTACTGAAGAGAATCTGAGGCTCAGTTGAAGTTAAGATCCTCACAGCCAGTCCACGTAGCTCCAAAGTCTGTGGTCCTAACCATTTGGCCATCGTGGCAATCCTATGTATTAGGCAAGCTAATGTCCCCATTTTGAGCCGGAGGAAACAGTCTTAATTATTTGCTATAGTCTCTCTGGTGAATCTGTGGGTTCCCTCCCACACAGGGGGATATCACAGAGGAGATTCTTAGGGAAAGTGGGCAGAGGAAGCTGTCTCCAGAAGACCTCTAAGGACCGTTAGTGCTCAGAGTCTGTATGCCTGAGGCCCATGCAGTGGCCTTCTCCTTGGGTGTGGTCACACATCCTGGCTATAGAGTGGAGACCAGATTCCTTTCTAGCCTTACTCTCACCACCTTTTCCCGTCATATAGTCTTAGACCCAGCCACTGGGACCAGTCCTTTTTCCTAAATTATGAGCTCTGCACATCTCTGCTTCCCTGCCTTTGCTCATGGTGTCCTTCCTCCCCTCCCCTCCCCACCTCTCTTCCTCTCTAAATGCTATCCATTCTTCAGTGCCAAGTTCAGACATCCTCCCTGAAGCCTTGAGCTCTTGCCTGCATGGATTTAATGTCTTTCTCCATGTGTCTCCTTCATGCTCTGGGGGGACCTCTGCTTCTCATATAGTCTGGAATTATTGAGGGAACTTGTCTAGTGTCTGCACAGACAGTGACAAATGCACCTGTGTGTTGAATAGAAAAGAGAGAGGCAAAGAGGAAGAGAGAGGCTGTATTTCCAGTGAGTCTGCTCATCTGATCACATACGAGAAGGAGAGTGAGATGGGACCCCAAACCTTCTACTCCTGCAGTCAAGTTCTCTTCCAGTATCTTCTCTTAGGGTAAGTGCAATATGATTCTATTTTTTTTAAATGGTCTTTTTCCATATAACACGACCTATAAATGCAACCCAAATGGTCGTTTGCATTTTCACCTTAGAATCTGGCCACTAACTAAAGTGTGACTTTTTATATTTGTGTTTATGTCATTTCTCTTCTTGAGTTAGAGAGCCTGAGTTATGCTACCTTTAATTTTCAGTAGCCCAAGTTCTCCACAGGTGGCCTGCCCCCTAGAGTGGCCTTGTTGGCATACAGCACCTTCTGCCCCCCACACAGCAACTGCCTAGTCTGAGGGGCCGATGCCAATCTGTTTTCTTTCCTCCACAGAGCTGCCTCCTATCATTGACCATTGGCCGTTAAAATTACATCTAATTTTCTAGGGATGGTCTTTTGATTTGCAGCAAACTTCTTTAAAAAAAAAAACTAAACATGGGGGTGCCCACCTGGTGGCACAGCAGTTAAGTTTGCAGGCTCTGCTTCGGCGGCCAGGGGTTCGCAGGTTCGGATGCTGGGCATGGACCTATGGGCTGCTTATCAGGCCATGCTGTGGCAGATGTCCCACATATAAAGTAGAGGAGGATGGACATGTATATTAGCTCAGGGCTAATCTTCCTCAAACAAGCAAACAAACAAACAAACCAAACCAACCAAAATAACCTGAACATGATATTATTGTAACAGCTGAAGTTTTCCCAGGATGCTGAAATGGAAATCTTTCTGAAACTCTTGGGAGTAAATTACGGCTGTATGGGAGAGAGGTCCATTTCCAAGCCCAAACAAATCCGTGGCTGGAGCTGCTATAAAGCACACAGAGAAGATGAAGAAGCCAGCCTCGAATGGCAAGGAGTTGTAGGAAATAAATTAAGACATCTAGAAAGCACATCCAAGAGGACTGGGCTATCACAGAACCCAGATAATGCTAATTGGGCAGGTACTCCAATTTCCGGAAATTTCTCTCCTCTGATGGAGTATGTGTGCATGTTGAAAGAATGAAATCACTCAAGGCTCTGAGTCTGAGTGACAAGACAAGAGCAGCGTCATTGACAGAGAGAAAGAACTGCTTGGTGGTAACTGTGAGGACATTTCACCTTTGAATGTTTGAAACGGAAGTGATGAGACAAGCAAGTGGAGATGTTTGGTAGAAAACTGGCCTGAGGGCTTGGCCTCCATGACTGGGGCTGAGAGAGCTGATCCAGGAGTGGGGGGAAGCGGGGAACATCTCCTTCTGCTCCCAACCCTACCTATGCGTGTATGATTTCTGAGTGGGAAGAGCTGCCACAGATTAAATTTGTGTGTGTGTGTGCGTGTGCGTAATTAGCCCTTGGGCGTTGAGAGTCAAAAAGGAGGAGCAGCCAGAGCCCTGGGAAAGATGGAGCAGGGGCATGAGCAGGAAAATGGACAGAGCTCTGGTTGGTCAGGTAGCCAATGCCCCAGTCCACAAGAATTCCTGAATGTGGCCTGGGAAGCAATGCCACATGTGACCAGGCGAAAGTCTGCCATACACAGGCATTGGGCCAGTGCCAGGGGCAGGAAGTGAACAGAGGGGCGCAGGCCAGTGAAGTCGTTGGGCGCGCAGCCCCTTAGTGAGTTCCATGTGTACGTACTGCCATCTCCTGCCTGTAGTTGCATCAGAAGCCCGCGAGAGGGCGCTGCTCGCCAACCTTTCCCGTCGTTGAGCCTGGTAGTCAATTCACAAGCTGCAGTGCTTCTGACTCCGACTGGGCTGTGTTGTGACTGCCCTTTGCTGTCTCAGTAGATGTCGCTCCCTGATCTGCCCAGACGCTCTGTAAAGCGGGGCTGGGGCTGCAAGGCCACCCTCTGTGGACAGACCGGGACACGCTGGCCACCCTCTCCCAGTCCCTCCCCAGCTCTTACAGATGATAAACAAATACTAAGGCAGTTGTTCTATGCAACAGACTGTCCCCCACCAGGAGCCTGGGATATCTTTCCATCCCAGGTGAGAGCTTCAGAGGCACGTGGGCCCACAGGACCGGGTGTCCCTGAGGAGAGAGACTGGAGAGGTCACGTGACATCTGAGGGATGCCAGATGTGGTACTACAGGAATGAGAAGCACATTTATGGCTTACGGATTCTGTGTGTATGGTATACTTCAGTTTTTAAAAAGCCTCTCTCTGATTTTATCACAATGTGGGTAAAATGCCAGTGTAACATTTTAACTCACGTAAGGCTTGGGTTTATATTCTGATAAGCCTAATTAATTGGAATTTTCTAAATTCCTTGTGCTTGTCTTATAGGCCATATAACTAATCATTATTTACACCAAGAATACAAGACTATGTAGACATAAACATGGAATCTCCACTAAACTTAATTATAATAACTAGTATAGGATGTAAAATTCAGGCAATGTTGCAAATGTTGTGGAACCACAGAATTACTCATCTTGTATTACCTGAGTAAAATTTAGGGTGTGTATTTAATATCAACAGTGATTAATTTATTATTTAATGTCAATTTATATTGTAATTCCAAGATCACTAACTTTAAGAGTTTAGGAATATTAATTTAAAGTAATTGATAAATGATTTTTGGTTATCTGAAAAAAATTTAAGAAATTGAAAGGAATAGAGACAGAAAGAATACACGTACTTGGAGACTGCACAATACTTTTTACAACCAGTCTCAAAAGACCAAATAAATATATGATTCCGTTTATATGAAACATCCAGAATAGGCAAATCTATAGAGACAGAAAGTAGGGCAGGGTGGGGGTTGGGAGAAATGAGGGGTGCCTGCTAATGGGCCCAGGGCTTCTTTTTGGGGTGATGAAAGTGCTCTAAATTGATTGCGGTGATGGCTCCCAATTCTATGAACACACTGAAAGCCAGTGAACTGCACACACTTTACATGAGTGAATTGAATGTTGTATAAATTATATCTCAATAAAACTGCTAAAAAGTATATTTTTATGTACTCTTGTCTGTATGGAATGTCCTTTTCTCATCATATTCAAATTACAAAAATAAAATCTATGCTGTAAAAAATGTCTTAAAATATGCTCTATAAGACTAATTTTATTTTTATTTATTTATTTTTTTGAGGAAGATTAGCCCTGATCTAACATCTGCTGCCAATCCTCCTCTTTTTGCTGAGGAAGACTGGCCCTGAGCTAACATCCGTGCCCATCTTCCTCTACTTTATATGTGGGACACCTACCACAGCACGGCTTGCCAAGTGGTGCCATGTCCACACCCAGGATCCAAACCGGCGAATCCCTGGCCGCCGAAGTGGAATATGTGCACTTAACTGCTGCGCCACCGGCTGGCCCCTAATTTTACTTTGAAGGCTAAAATTTAAAGCTTTCAATAATGTCGTACCTATCATTTTTCAGTATGCATTTTAAAAATATATGTATTGAGATATATTAAAATTAATTAAATAATTGGCGAGCTTATGTATCATAAAGTACTAATAACCCAACTTAATACACTGATCGTATGCCTGATCATTAGTATACAGTCTCTCCTCCATGTGAAATAAATTTTTATTTTTCTTTTGTATAGATGACAAAAAGTTGTTGCTGTAACTTCCCAAATGTGTACTATTAAAAAAACTTTTGGGGGGTTGACATGGTGGTGAAGTGGTTAAGCTCGCAGGCTCTGCTTAGGCCTGGGGTTTGCAGGTTGGGATCCTGGGCATGGACGCTCCTCAAGCCATGCTGTGGTGGCAGCCAGCATACAAAATAGAGGAAGATTGGCAAAGATGTTTGCTC